AAGTACTGAAAGATCAAGAGGAATATGCCAACTTAAAAGATCACTAGACCTAGTGGTGGTTTTGGCTGGCATCACAAATACCTGGAAATTGACCATCACATATCTGAGGGATCTCCTAGAGCAGGGGTGTCAAACTCAAGGCCCGGGGCCCAGATCTGGCCCGTGGGATGCTTACATCTGGCCCTGGAAACAGCGAAGTACTGACCCACAGTGCCTCTGCCAGTAAAAACGGAGCTTAGGGAGGCTGTGTGCGGTCCTTCGGGGCTCCATTTTTAGCCTGCAGCTATCTGCCAGTGAAAAAGAAGCTTGGGGGTGGCCCCCCCGACCTCCGCTTTTGCTCGCAGGGGGCTGCACAAGGCCATCCCAGCCACACACACACACCCTGAGATCAAATACAACCCTGATGCGGCCCTCAATGAAATCGAGTTTGACACCCCTGTCCTAGAGTGATGTTTCAATATACCTTGACAAAGACCTCTGAATTTATTATTTTTATTTTTTTAAACAGAGCTGAAAATTGTGTCAATGGGCACTACCCATCTGCTGAATGGACGTTAAAAAAAAATTAATGTTCAGGCTGCAGCAATTTAGGACAGCAGATGCCCCTTGAAGAATTCCACTCTCATACTTCCCCTGGCATCTCTAGAAAACCAGCATGAATGAAAAGCATAAAATGGATGCTCTCCCCGCCCCCCAGCTGCATTCGGTGATTGATGCTCAGAGCATCTCATTCAAATGGCATGATATATTTATCACCCCCTGTGTTAACTACAGTACTTCTTTTTATTTTTGCCATTCCAGAAAGCAGCAGGCCTTTCAGATTCAGAGCTTTGTCAGCACAAAGCTTCTCGGAAGACAGCTCTGTTAATCTAAAGGGAGGGAGGGAGGAAGAGAGAGAGAGAGAGAGAGACCATCTGCAATATCTATATAGATATGGGGGGATTGGAGATTTAAAAGACCAAAATGCATTCAGTTCTGGTCACCACAATGTAAAAAAAGATGTTGAGACTCTAGAAAGAGTGCAGAGAAGAGCAACGAAGATGAACTGCAAGCAAAGGTTAGTTATTCCATTCCCTGCCCCAAGGATTTCCAATTTTGGGATGGGTTGGCTGTATTCCTTCCTATCTCACTCCAGAATCAGAATGGGTAGCAGTTTTTGCCCTGCTTGAAGTCAGCATCAAGCTGCCTCTAGCTGATGTTACAAAGCTCAAGGGATCAGAGCTGGTTGATACTTAGCTGTCCTTGGACTAGAACAGTGTATGTTGCTCTGTTATTCTGAAAGTGGTTGAGGTGTGGGTAAAAACCACCCAAGGAAGAAGAAAGCAACTTTGTGATCTGGAACAGTGTTTCTCAATCTTGACAACTTTATGATGTGTGGATTTCAACTCCCAGAAGGGGTGCTAAGAAGCCAGGATGTGAAACATTGGGTGGAGAGGAGCACAGACATGACCTTCAAGAAAGATACGGCAACCAATGGGAAAACATGAGCTTAGCCAGGAAAACGGGAAGGGGTGAGAAAGAAACTCAGGACTGCACCACTTGATTCTCTTTGGTATAAGAGGTGGGGAAGAAGGCACATTTTCTACTCTATACAGGTAATCCTTGACTTACAACAGTTCATTTAGTGAGTGTTCAAAGTTGTATCACTGAAAAAAGTGACTTATGACTGTTGTTCACACTTATGACTGTAACAGCATCCCCATGGGCATGTGATCAAAATTTGGATGCTTGGCAACTAGTTTCATATTTATGATGTTTGCAGTGTCCCATAGTCATGTGATCACCCTTTTGTGACCTGGTGAAAAGCAAAGTCAAGGGAGACGCCAGATTCACTTAACAAACATGTTGCTAACTTAACAACTGCAGTGATTCGCTTAACAACTGTGGCAAGTTGTAAAATGGGACGAAATTTACTGAACAACTGCCTCCTTTAGCCACAGAAATTTCAGGCTCAATTGTGCTCGTAAATTGAGGACTACCTGTATTAGTGAAGTATGGTGCTAGTATTTCTTTAAACTCTTTCTCGATAGGTGTAACTCAAAGGGTTGCTACTAGGGAACATTGCTAACCAGGCTAAAACAATGCTCAGCTGCCCACACTGTCAATAAATACATCCAGGATATATTGTTTAGTCCTACCTGCCTTTCTTCCCAGCAAAAAAGAAAAGAAAAGAAATCTCTTAACAAGATTCCTCACTCACAGAATCATAATATTAATTTAAAGTCATATTGGCGACATTTTGGCTTTCAGGACGCAAGCAGGCAGGACTACTTGAATCCATCCACGACTGTAATAAATCATTGCTTCATAATTAACAATAATGGTTATTAGGTAGGCAAGGTGGAAAGGAACAAACAGATCCATTCCTTCTCCAGAACTGCTCTTCTTTGGGGGCAGGGAAGGAAAGAGAAGATCAAGACTAATGAAGTCATGAGAATCTGTCCAGTTTTAGAAAGTTTTGCCTTGTCAACCTTCTCAAAGCTAAGGAAAAGCAGCACCATCTGCTTGCCAGGACACAGTCAGAAATTACATGCTCCTAAATTTTATTTTTTATTTTAACAAAGGGATGGTATCTTAAAAGTGATGAAAAGCTCTTTAGCATGAGAAATTGCACTTGTTAAAAGAGAAACATTAACAAAATAATCATAAATCATCTGCCAGGTCTGATTTTCAAATTCATCCATTCTGACTGATATGCCTGCGAATCTCATTTGGGTAAGGTAATTAGATCCTTAACACCATTTCTTTGGGGTGGAGGAGGTCAGCAAGGAGACAGACTGTAGATTAAAAGAAACCCAGCAAACAGACCAATTTTCTGCGCGGGATGATCCTGATATAGATATCAAAAGGAAAGGAAAGCGAGAGAACAGAGGCTCTTTGTTAAATATCTAATTCAGCAAAAAAAAAAAAAAAGGAATTTGGGTTCTTTTCTCTTTTTTTCTCAGCAAGAGTAAAAATACATAGAACACGGAGGTATCATTAAGCCCAAGAGGGGTGGACAAAAAATCCACTGCAATAAGCAAATTATTACCGAAATATAGCAAGGCTGAATCGTCACAATTTAAAGCAAGTGAATATTCACTTTGCTTACTGCAAAATTTACCATGTAATTAAAAGAGCAAAAGTTTCCCTCCCCGGGTGTCATAGGTCACATTGTCCAATCAAAGCAGGTGGGCGGCTCCCTTGACCACTTCTGCTCCTCCTCCAATTGCCACCTGTTGGGATGACCTTGGTTCCCAAGAGAGAGCTCTTTAGTTTAGTTTAGTTTGTCTACCAGCTATTTTCCCCTCATCCTCTGCCCATAGGGTGTGGCAGCTGTAAAGCAGCACAAGATGGCTTCAGACAGGTTCAATTCAGAGTTGACACCTTGACTTAACAATCATTAATTTAGCAACCATTTATAATTACAACCAGACTGAGGGAGGGGGAAGTGACTTATGACTGGCTCTTTTACTTACAACGGTCACACCATTCCCCCTGTGATCAAAATATGGGTGCTTGGCAACCGAAGTGTCTTAATGATGCCGTGTCCCAGTGATCACCATTGGTGGCCTTTCCAGCCAGCTCCTCACAAGCAAAATTAATGGAGAGACTCTGGATTGATTTAACCACCATGTAATTCACTTAATAACAGAGATGGTATTCAGCCAGTTCTGGATGGTTCTTGCGGATCAGTAGAGAAAATTTTGACTGTTTTAGAGAACCGGTAGGGAAATTTTTGACTGGCCCAAGCCACCCACCTGCTCCCACCCTTTGGCCTCTGCCTCCCAGCAATTTGCCTCCTTGTAACAAAGAGCAAACGGCCTGTTTCAGTTTCCATTTCAGCACAGCCTGATTAGCACAAGCAGCTGATTGTCGGTTGGATCGGCCTCCTGATGATCAGCTGTTTCAGGTTGCAGGGATTGCCATAGCCTGTTGTCGTCTCTTCACGCCCCATTGCATCCCATTTTTTGCCTCCGTGTACCCCATTTTTGGCCCATTATGATTCCCGCCACCTGAAAATGGGGCAAGAGGAGGCCAAAAACAGGATTCAGAGGCTGAAAATGGGGCACACATAGGCGGCAATAGGCTATGGCAATCCCTGCAGCCTGAAGCAGCTGATCGTCGGGAGGCCGATCCAACCGACGATCAGTTGCTTGTGCTAATCAGGCTGTGCTGAAACTGAAACTGAAACAGGCTGTTTGCTGTTTGCTGCAAGGAGGCCAATTGTTGGGAGGCAGAGGCAGATTTTTTTATCTTGTTTGATCATCGCGCGTGTGCGTGCGAAGCAAGCTCCAAACTGGTAGGAAAATTTTTTGAAACACACCACTGTTTAACAACCGCAGCGATGACTTACAACTATGGCAAAACAAGTTGTAAAATTGGGTGTGATTCAGTTAACAACCGACTTGCCAGGCCGCAGTTTTATTGGAGATTACAACGAGACTGGAGATATTGGAGCTATCATATTGGCACAACTGGTGAAAACCGACTCTAAAAGTTCCCGCCGTTTTCACCCGATTAAAAAGTGAAAGTTCCCCCTTTCCCCAAACAGTCACATTGTCCAATTAAGATGCTGGCCAGTTGCCTGGTTACGTTACTCCTCCTTTCTCCATCCACCTATTGGAATGTCCTTGGTTCCCACAGGAAGCTATTTTTGTTTTGGCTACAAAACCCCCCATCTAACTATGTCCCCTCCCCTCCCTATCCCTTCTTTGCATTGTGGCAACTCTGAAGCTTCCAAAATGGCCTCAGCCAGGTTCGCTTCAGAGTTGACAGGCACCACTGCAGCTAGACTGAAAGTGTTGACTGCAAAATTAACAGAGCAAAGAACATGGTTGCAAGTGGCAGCCACAAGTGGTTACCATGTTAGTTCTTTGTGGGCAAAAGATGATCATATCATAAAAACAGAATTGTTATGGCCTCAGCTACACTCCATCCACTACATAAAGGGAAAGTTTGCATAGCAAGACATCTGGAGTTCTTTCCTCCTACTTTGCTAGCAGAAATTATAGGAAACGGCTATGTTTTCTTCTCCTAATGATGTAATATGTTGCATGTGTTGTGTGAGAGAAAGAGGGTATTTCTGCTTTTTGTGCTGCATCTATGTGGGTATATGTGCACAGGGAACCTTAGGATAGGCTGCAGATGCTCCATGATGGCCACATGACCAGGAGGGAAGATTGCTTAGAATGGAGCTTCCAGGGTGCTTTTTCAAAAGGCAATAGGGCTTTCTTGGTTTTCCTTTAAGACATTTCACTTCTTATTCAAGAAGCTTCTTCAGTTCTGGAGTCTAGTTATCTTTAAAAAGTACCTTTGGGACAACCATGACCTGAACGATTGAGAATCTCCATAGACACTTAAAATAGAGCAATTAGCAACAGGCCCAATGCCCAACTGCCTCTCCTATAGAGATGCATTGGGTTTGGGATTTGTGTGTGGGAGGGTGTTTGGAATATATTTCTCTGGAGCCCAAACCAGATTTGTCCTACTCGATCACATAATAGCTCTGCATGACATGATAACCAACTCAATTTTCTCCAGTATCTACATATATCTATGTTCTAACCCAAACTGTATCTCATATATAATGCAGCTGCATTTGGCATGTTTCTCACTTAATGTAACATTTAACATATCTGACTGTTCTATTTCTTGCCAATAACATCCCCGTGAGAAAGCATGACAAACCTGTTTTGCTTTTTCCGTGCTGGCTTATATCAAATGATTTTCAAGCCAACTTTACAAGCACACTGATTGACAAGCCACAGGAAAAGCAATAAAAGAAAGCACAACATAAAGTTACTTGGCATAATTCGAAGCCCAGACTTTCAAACATTGTTTAAATGCTTGTTGTTCTATTACTGCAATTCAGTTAAAGCACTAATGCAAAATCAATAATTTAACTACAAGCATCTTAAATTGATAGAACGCTATTGAGTTTAGTGGCAAGGCTCTGGACAAGCACATTTATTTCTCAAGTCCTTGCTAGCCAGTAGATGCAATAAATTACAACTATTATGACAGACAACATCTGCCCAGGAAGATTTCTGACACAGGGATCTGTCAGGCCCCAAATGCTAAAAAAAGACACGTGGTGATTCTTCCAAACAATTCCAATAGTGTGTTGTTCTATACCCTTAGACAGAATCTTGCCAAATTGAAGCATTCTACTGTATGTATGTATGTATGTATGTATGTATGTATGGTATTCAGCTTTGTTCGTATGTGTGTGTGTGTATATATATTTGTTTTCTTAAGTTTTCGTGGGTACTTACATGTATGGTATTCAGCTTTGTTCGGGTATTTTCTCACGTCTTTGTCGTTGTGCTTTTAAAGTTGTAGCAACGTTTTGGCAGAATCTCATCTGCCATCATCAGGCTTCTATATTGTGTTTGTCTGTATTGTGTTCACAGACGAACACAATATAGAAGCCTGATGATGGCAGATGAGATTCTGCCGAAACGTTGCTACAACTTTAAAAGCACAACTTTCACTTCTCATACAAGAATCTCCTTCAGCTCTGAAGAAGCTTCTTGGATGATTGAGAAGCGAAATGTCTTCAAAGAAAAACCAGAAAGTCCAGTTGCCTCTTGAAAAAGCACCTTTGGGACATCCATAACCTGAATGACTGAGAATCTCCATAGACATCTGGGAGTTGAAGTCCACGTATCAAAAAGTGGCTGAGATTAAGAAACACTGGTCTGGAGTTTTCTGAAATTAGTCTAGGAAATAAATCCATTAATTTAAAGTGTATTGTTTTATTTTTTGCTTTGTCATAACTAGGAAGCTTTGCCCAGGTTGTAAAAATAAATAAATCCAGTCCTCCTAAAAGCTGTCACCTGAATAGGAAAAACATTATTCCAGTAATAGCTAGGCTGCAAATAATTTTATCGGTAAAGTTGTCATTCTGCTCTTCTTAATTAGAACTGTGTTCCAGAAGATGCTTTATAAAAAGGATAGATACATGCTGGCAAATGCACCCTGAATATTCAGTCTTGGGCCTTGAGCCAACCATTCTATTGTACTACCTTTATTTGTAGATTCCTGGAAGTAATTCTGTTGTGTCCAGAGTAGAAGAATAAAACCAACCAGAACAGGACATCCTTGAGTTTGGCCCTTCTTGCACATATGTGGAAAATATACATGAACACAGAATTAATTGTACTTACAATCATGCTCAGACTTGTTATATGCTTGAGAATTATAAACATTGTGGCTTACAACAAACCAACAGAGTTACTGCTGAGTTCAAAAGCATTGCTTATTTATAATACTATATCACAGAGTACTTTTCTTTGTTACCCCATAACTAAGGGATTGAGATTTAATTGCTTTTTCTTGTATTGATAAAATCCTGCTTTCTTGGAGGAATATGATGCTCCTCAGATATGTTAGACTTCAATTCCTCATTCTGGCCAGGAATTCTGAAAGCTGATGTTCAACGCACCTGGAGAACAGCATCACAATAAGGTGCAGTTTTCAACCAATACTACATTTTTCTAACCAGGTGAATATAAAACCATGTAAATTCTTCAGAAAAGCAATGGACGTTCTTCTAAAGAAATGTGATTGAATCAGGCTGTAAGGCTTTTGAACTACCCTGAAGTTGCTCATAAATACAGTGCCTATAATTAACTCCTAAGCAGCTTTTTCAAAAATGTTTTCCAACCATAAGTATTATTTACAATGGGAAAAAAATTAAAAGGAAGGGAAGAATTAATTAGAGCTGACTTGAAGCAATGGGCAGTCAGTGATTTTTGTTTTAAAAATAAAAAGTACAGACTGAATCTGCTCAATACCTGATGTTATTTTCATATCTTTTGCCTACAAAGGCACTGCGCAAGGAAAATAATGGGCAGAAAGACTGTCTAGATTGATGCACTATATGAATATTAATTCCATTCTTCAATACTGCATTCCCTGAAGATTTTAATTATTAGCACCATTCAATGCCGGGAACCCAGACAAGGACACAAAGTCAGGAACAAATGCCAAGTTCCAGTCCAAAAAATCTGGGTCAATGAGAAGGTTTCCTTGTATAAAGCAGCCAGAGAACTACAGTACAGATAGTCCTCGAGTTACAATCATTCATTTAGCGATCGTTCAAAGTTGCAAAGGCATAGAAAAAAGTGGCTTACCACACGCACTTAGGATAGTCACAGTATCCCCACACTCACGCTATCAAAATTTGGGTGCTTGCAAGCCAATGTGCTTGCAATGGTTGTAATGACAGCCTCCTAGGATCATGATTGCCATTGGCAATCTTCACAGCCATCAAAGACAACAATGAAGTCAGATTTGCTTAACAACTATACGATTCACTTAACAACTCTGACAAAGATTATAAAATCAGGTATGGTTCATTTAACAATCGCCTTGCCTATCAATGGAAATTTTGGTCCCAACTGTGGTCATCAGTCAAGGATTACCTGTACTTGGATCACTCTTTTCCAAAACACCTGAG